GGCAATCTGTAACAGTATCATTATTTCAACATCGGTCCTGTGAAAATTCTTAGATAATAAAAGCAGTTTGTGGCTCTAGCTTCATGCTTGTGTTGTACTTGGCCATTAAGTCCCCTCCTTCCTACAGCCCCCCCCCCCCAAAGAAGCCTAGGGATAGGGTCTTCATCCCCGGCAGGAGGGGCAAAATCAGGGTGCTGAAGAGCAAATCCAACTGTTGAATTTCAGATTTTGTGCCCTCCCATGTTCATCCCACTAGCCATTTTGGCAAGCTCTCAAAATTCCAGATGGGCCCACCAGTCTGAGAACATATTCACCCCTAGACTAGCTTAAATTCCTTCACCTGGTGTCCTCCAGTGTTACTAGACTTATGGAGCTTGGTGTGATGGGAACTGTAGTCCTGACACATTTAGAGTAGAAAGTTAGAAGAGGCTGGGGAATGGATTTCCAGTGTTTTGCCTCAGATACACAGTTGGATCCTATGTCCTTCACAAATATTTGTTCTAAGAAAAGCAGAAAAGAACTCGAGTCAGCAGCTAGTAGACAACTGCTGGAAGTGGATTATAGGGAAAGGATCCTACCAAGATGTTGCCTTGCTGATTTCCCACCTCTTCTCTCCCACAGGTAGTTTGTTAGATTTTTTGAAAGATGGAGATGGTCATTTCTTGAAGTTGCCCCAACTGGTGGACATGGCAGCGCAGGTAACCTGATGGGCAGGGGGCAATCTCAGTGGTCACTCTGGGAATTGGGAGCATAATTTACTGACCCAGTTGGGGGTGGGGGGGAGAAAAGGCTGTCCTAAACGAGAACAGAAGGAGCTGCAACAATTGAGTCTCCTGTGCCATCTCATCACTGCCTTTCTGCTTCTGCACACAATCCAGATTGCAGCTGGAATGGCTTACATTGAGCAAATGAATTACATCCACCGGGATTTGCGTGCTGCCAACATCCTTGTGGGTGACAACCTTGTGTGTAAAATTGCTGACTTCGGCTTGGCCCGACTCATTGAAGACAACGAATACACGGCTCGCCAAGGTAAACTCTCAGAGGCACCCTGGAGCAGAAGAAAGAGTCACCTTTCAGCAGGCTAGGCTATTTGTACAATTAATCATTGATTGACAGATGCTGTTTGTGCTCTTGGGCGGAGAGAGGTTTTCTCATTGGCATTTTAGCAGGAGGTGCCATACTGAACCTGAGGACTTCTTTGTGCAAGACAGAAACTTCCACTGAGCAGTGGTCTTTCTATGATGCAGACAAAGGCAACCAAGTGACCTCCAGAAGTCCTTTCTAAAACTTATCAATGTCCTTCCTACAATGTGGTGCTTCAGAACTGGACACAATATTCTAGAAGCAGTCTGAGGTTTGCAGAAGGAGTAGTGAATCTAGAAGTGGCAAACTGATGGTACTTCAAGACTACTGATTCAGCCGAGAGGACCATGCCACAAATTGTCAGTAAGATCTGGAAGGATGTGGCTGATCTCCAGCTTAGAGCCCAATTTCAGCCATGTGAAACTGGATTCTCATGCTCCTAGTGGCTGTTGTGTAAATCGGGTCCAGTTGCAGACCGGCCCATCTTCTTAAAAGAAACAGGCTTCCTCCATCCTATAGCAGGAAAAAGCAAGCGAGAAGTTATTTGCTTTGTTGTACATGAGGTTCACATTTGGATGCAAAAATAGTGGTTGGAATCCTTGTGTTGTCACCTTAGCCCTTCTAAACCTTACTGATCAGAGTTCAGAGGGACTTGTTCCTTGATTGTCCCAGTTGGTGCTGGAGATTTCTGACAAGGTAAATTAAGAAGACTTTCTCTTTGCTGGCTTTACTTCTTGAGGGGAGAGGCTGGTATGATCTGTGCTAAGAAGTCTGTTTTAAATTCACTGGTGATCTTTCTCCCACAGTGGAGAAAGTATGGGCCTTTCTCATCCAGGTAGCATCTCCTTCTGTATGATCTTAACCTCTTAATTCCACCTCCTTGCCAATAGGTGCCAAATTTCCCATCAAGTGGACAGCTCCGGAAGCCGCTCTCTATGGCAAGTTCACCATCAAGTCAGATGTGTGGTCTTTCGGCATCCTTTTGACAGAGCTGGTGACCAAGGGCCGAGTACCTTACCCAGGTAAAGTTGGAGAGGCTGCCTTCATCATAGAGGGGAACTGTTGCAACATTCACTGGTGCCATAAGTCCTTTTTTGAAATGGAATTGCCCTTTTGGTTTACATAATGCATTGAACCATAATATGGTTGGTTTGGGTTGAGTTCAGCATTTGATGCAATCTAGCCATTGCAGTTGGTGCAATTTTAGCAACTTTTATGCTTTTAGCTTCTTGTATGGGGTACTGTCTGAACCTAATCAGCTGTGCTTTGTTTGATAAACACTAGTTAATCTGCTCCTGGTTTGGTTTAGGATTGAGCAACTTCTGCAGGCTTGAAGGCCATCTCAGTATTCATGCAGTTGATTGGGGACTGTATTCCAAAAGTCAGTGCGACCCAGATCCAGAGTTGACCTGATTTGTGTGGAGAAGTAGTTGGGAGGGTAAAGAAGAGGTAAAGTGGCTCTGCAAAGCACATATTTTTTGCCTCTCAGAACTTCACAAACTCTGGAAAAATCCCCCTAAAGGCCAAATTTTAGCCCCCCACCTATTTTATTGGGGTATGGGAAGTACATTTTTTGCACACTTGAGTTAGTGTGTTATACAAACCCAGCTCTGTGTATCCTTGCATAGCTCCTGTCTTTTTGATGTGGCTTGATTTACCAAATTTTGCAGTGGATCATGCCCCCACGGTATCCAATCTGTCTGCAGACTCTGAATTACAGGTAGTCCTCACTTAACGACCATTTGTTTAACGCCAATTCAAAGTTAGCCTAGGAAAAAGTGCTTTATGACCTGTACTGACACGACCATTGCAAACCATTGCATCACCCCCGTGGTCACGTGATCATGATTTGCAACCTTTTTTATGACAGCCGTTAAGCAAATCACCCTGGTCATTAGGTGAATCATGTGGTCGTTAAGCAAATTCTGGCAAAACTAATCCATTGGGGAAACTGGATTCGCTTAATGATCACACAGTTCACTTAATGACCACATGATTCACTTAACAACCATCATAAAAATGGTCGTAAAATTGGGTCCAGTCATGTGGTGACTCGCTTAATGACCACCCCACTTAACGACCAATTGTCAGTCCCTATTCTGGTCATTAAGTGAGAACTACCTGCACATGCTGGTTCTCTTCTTGATTTTACTTTCTGTATGTGTGTATGTGCCTTTGAGTCAGTCTTGGCAACAGTTTCAAAAGTGGTTTGCCCTTGCCTTCCTCTTAGGGCTGAGAGGGAGTGACTGGCCTAAAGTCACCCAGCTGGCTTCATGTCTAAAATGGGACTAAAACTCATGGTCTCCTGATTTCTAGCGAAGTGGTTTTAACCGCTACACCAAACCAAACTAGCTCTCCCTTGATTTCATAGAGACTCATGATAGGACCACCCCACCACTAAGTCTTTCTCTTGTCAGGCATGAACAACCGGGAGGTGTTGGAACAAGTGGAACGGGGTTACCGCATGCCATGTCCTGGGAATTGCCCCCCCTCGTTGCACGATCTGATGGTGCAGTGCTGGAAGAAGGAGCCTGAGGAGCGCCCCACTTTTGAATACCTCCAATCATTTCTAGAAGACTACTTCACTGCTACAGAGCCTCAGTATCAGCCAGGAGACAACCAACTGTAACTGATGGGGCTCCCAACCAGGATTGTGACCATGGAGAGCTCACTCTTTGGGGATCTCTCTCAAGTGTGGGTTGAGGCTGGGACACACTGAGAAAATCTCTTCCCTGTCCAGTGCCAGGAGCTGAGGGTCCCGTTTTGTAGAACTGGGATTAGGTTCCTTTCTCTTTCTCTTTCTTTTAATTTTAATTTTATTCCCCTTTGGGACTATTGCTTTTTTATTATTGTGATTTTGTGTTTTAAATTCTGCCTCATCCTGAATAGCTGCCATGCCAATTTTTGGAGATTAAAAAAGATGGGGAGGAGGAGGAGGAGGAGGAGGAGCCGCCAAGGCTATAGATGGCAGGAGAGGTATTTATTTGTTTGTTTAATAGTGCATCCTCTCTTAATTAAGCTACTTCTGTGTTAACATTGGAGAACCTTTGGCCCTTGAAAGAACCCCTGGGGTGCTCTGAAGAGGCTTTGTACTTCAACCCCCATTGATTCCAGCCAACAACAAGGCATTGGGGGAGTTGTAGCCTCAAATGTTCGAACGCACCTTTTCCCTAACCCTGCTGCAGCCAGTAAGGATAAGGACAGGATGGCTGCAGGACCACAGGATAAAGAACTTTGCACAATGAAATACGTTATCTAGCCATCCTGCAACCAGTGCCCTCCAGATGTATTGTGACTGCAACTCTCAGAATTCATCAGCTTGCAAAGGCCATGCTGGCTGGGAATTCTGAGAGGTGTAGTCCCACGGCATCACATATGGGAGGTTGCTGTGGAACCCCAACTGCCATGATGCCGTTGGGCAAACAATCTAGGTTTGTTAAGCATGTTTAAGTCCTGCAAAATCTGAATGGCTGTGGTACTCTGTTCCTCCCCTACAACATTCTGGAAGATGGCCACATCTCTTCTCCCTCATCATTAGCCCTGACGCTCTGAATCCATCACTTGGTACTATCTGGGTACGTATCGTGTTTGAAATCAATGAGTTACGACCATGATATGAGAATGAACTTATACAGAATCCATTATAGGTTGATCAAACAGTATCAGCTGTTTTCTTGTGAGGGTCAGCTTGGCTTCTGAATGATATATTGGGGGCTGCACTTCAAAAAGGAGAGGGGCCGGGACATAGCCCTAGTTCAGTGGTGCATAAGGGAAGCAGACAGTGTTGCCTAGGACAACTTAAGGGGAAGTTGTGTGCCAGAAAGGCTTTGGATCCTTTTTACAGAAGGAGAACGTTTCTGAGCAGATTAATGTGGAACTGAGAAGTGTCTGCTCCATAGCCACATGGTGCCTTCTGACAATAAGATGAGGCTCCTTACCAGATGGGGGCTTGTGCACCATCCCTTGAAAATGAATGATTTTTGCTTGTCAACTGGGAGCTGTTCCAGATGTTCCTTACCAGATGTGCTGGGGCTGCAGTGTCCAACATTCCTAGCCAGTAATTACAACCCAAACACATTTGGAGGGACCAGGTTGGAAGAGGCTGGCTTATCTGGTATCCATATCCCAGTTATCTCCCACTAACTTTTTCTCCCTGTGCACAAGAATCCTCTAATCTGGCAAGTGTGTTGAGGAATCCGCCACAGATCATTCATAGGACACTAACCATAATCTTTGGAGGAAAGCTATGACTCCAACACCAATAAAAGAATGTCCTAAGTCAGAGTTGTGGCCTTCCAGGTATGGTTGGATTAAAATTCTATCATCCTTGATCATTGTCCTTGTTAGCTGGGAAGTTGGAGTCCAGGAACATCTGGAGAGCCACTTGTTCCCCAAACTGTCCTAAGAAGTGCTTCAGAAGAAATTTTAGAAGACAAGTGTGGTAGATGTCCAGAAATAGCTACAGTAAAATCTGCCATAGATCCAAGGGGTGAAAGATTAGTTTCCCTTCATTTCCATCTCCCTGTAATTTGAAATACTGCCAGGACACTGGAAATTGCTGAAACACGTGAACTATTACATTGCACTGGGCTGATTTCTGAAAGCTATGCAGGTTTACTGAGAAATAAGTGTTATTGCTCATTTCAACCATGGTTGCTAAACAGATCACCACATTATGGCTTATTATTGATGAACCAGGCAATGATTTAGCAATGCTTCCTTTCAGGTAAGAATATGAAAGATTAAATCCTTAACTGTGGTCAGTGTGCAGGATTATGATCAGGGTTCTTTTAGTTTGTAAACCATGGTATATTGTGTAAACTCAGCAAATTATGATTCATTAAACTGTTGACAAACCATGGTTTAGTACAGTGTGTGAACCAAGCCAGTGTTTCTTCTTGCAGGATAGCATTTTCCCAGTTTATGCCATATGATTGTGGCAGAATTAATCATGATCATCTTCCTGATGGCATAGAATGAGACCCAGGGAGGGAGTAGAGTAAGTCATACCTGGATAACATTCGTATGAATAAGATGTTCAGTAATTATTATACATACTCTACTTCCTAAAAAAGAGTGAGATTCATACTAACTTCTTTCTTGGAAATTCCCATCTTTAGCTCATTCATTATAGAACATCCAGATAAACTAAAATTGTGAATGCCATAGTTTTGTGTCACCCCATTATTTTTGATATTTTTAGCTTTTAATAAAATGCAGTTGCTGCACTGATCTGTTTATCATAGACAGGCAAAAGCATTATTACAATTTCCAAGGGCTACTGTGTCTTAAGTTAAAAGCTTCCTGCCTGCTGATTCTGCTGCTTTTTTGGATTTTGGTACAATGCATTACCTCCTCATTTAGTCAGCATCTGTTTCTCTTGATCAGGCCGGGGAAGGATGTAAATATCCTTTCATTTTTAATGTGCTTTTAAAAATAATTGAACAGTACTATTTCTCTATTTAAAAATAAATGGCTGAGTACTAGTAATTGAAGCCATTGCCCCTCTGTAGGAAACAGAAACTGATTCATCATTTAAGTCCCAGTTATGCTGAACAGCAAGAAGCAAAAGCAGCAGAACTTGCAGGCAGGAAGCTTTCAGTTAAAATTGCAGGGGAACAGTTGCTGAACATCATCAACGACCTTGATAATGAGGATGCTAAACGATACAGAGCTATTAAATAAAAGCATCATTTCAATGCTTCATTTAGCTGATGGAGGGGGAAAAAGTGCCTCAACAGCGCTTAAGTATCTTAGCATGGAAATGACCCAGCGGGCTGCAATATGCTTCTTCAAGAAGCAGTTCTTACTTATTAATGCCAGGACCCTGAACTGGGTGGCCAACCTTCCTTTCCATACTTGTTAGTTGCTTGTGTGTGAATGCAAGTGACCTACAGCCCAAAGGAAAAGGGGGGTGAGCCCAACAGCACCTTAGCGGAAGGACAAGAAGCAAAAGTTGCTGGGCAAGTGACAAGCCGTTTGGGATGAGAGGTCCACCATGGGACCTTTTAGGCCAAGGGAAGTTTGGCAGCTGCCTATGGTGCTGAAGACCAACACTTACCGTGGACTATCAGCAACTTACCTGGATTTGTTCAAGCTTTCCACAATGACCTTGAGATCTACAATTCAACAAATGTAGAGTTCTGGGAGTGGAGATGAGGTACTTTGACAGAGGGGAGGATGAGTACACTGACAATGAGCAAGCAAGCAAATGAGTTGGAGGTCACTAGCTTTCCTCTCCTTGATGCAGGCTTCCATCCAGTAGGGTCCTTCCATCCTGTGAGCCCATCCACCGACCACCTTCTCTTTGCTTAAGGACCATGTTTTTCTTTGTGGTGGCCTTTGCAGTGGATGAAGCTTCTTCACTTTTCAGGCTTCTGGAGAGCTGCCCTCTCGGGCTTCCCATCCTGGAAATGTAGTCATTTACATTTTCTCTGTTATGGTTCTAAAACCCTTTCAAAAAGGTTGATTCGTTGATAGGACAGCTAGACAAATCCTATGCTTGCAGACCTTGCGGGGTGGGCAGACAAGCCCAGGATGAGAAGGGGAGGGCAGAGCCTTTGGGCAGGGGGCAACCACTGCTGGTTTATAGTTAGACCAGTGTTTCTCAACCTAGGCAACTTGATGTGTGGACTTCAACTCCCAGAATTCCCCAGCCAGCAATGCTGGCTGGGGAATTCTGGGAGTTGAA